GCAGTCTAGTGAATCAAAGCTCATTTGAGCGCAAATAATAGCTTGTTATGCTGCTATTTATGAGATAGTGTCCGTATGCCAGACCTGAAGCATTATCTTCAAGGTAGAGCTCGGCAGCAACTAATGTAAAAGAGTGTGTATTCGAGGAGAAATGACAGTCCCATTTTTAATATTCTTTTGGTCAATGATAATCACTGACACATCAGGAGGAACTCATTTTCCTTCTCATTCAACTAGCTATCACCGCAACATGAGTTGTCAGAAAGTGGATCAAGTCTTATTGTATAAAATTTAATACGTAAAAGACAACAAAAGTTGTGCATATGCGGAGCAAATCCAAGCAAAAAGCAGCATGTTTTTTTAGAAAAACCGATCATTCGCAACTGTACCACTTAAATAACCTGAGTGGTTTGCTTGAAGTCTTTGAAGAATTGAGAAAAACCAACCACTGAAGGAAGAGGAAAACTAATCGGTGAATGAAGATCATATTCCTCCACAACAATGCGGGTTCCAACACATTGGCTCAAATAAAAAAGATTTTGTGCACTCAAAACGTCAAAATGATGGGTCATATTCCCGACTTGGCATCCAATGAGTTCCACTTGTTCTCAAACATTGAGAAAAAAATGCGTGGCGAGCTGTTTTTTACACATTCAAAACCTTGGTTTTGAATATTCTGACTTTATAGTGACAAAACTGCTTTAAAAATTGGTTCAATCGAATACAAAAATATATTGATTATCATGGAGAATACTTTGTGAAACAATGAAACCCTTTTCACTGATTAATCACTGTTTTTTTTTGTTGGGCTCTAGTCTTGAAATCCAGCCCTCGTATAACAGCATTATAAACATGAAAACACTTCAGATAATATTATTTAGTTTGCATTTATCTTTCATCTTTAATAAAAGATATATATTTTTCGAATAAATCTTTTTGAAAACATTTAAACATTTACTATTTACATACTAACACAGTTTTTTATGTATTAGAGAGTATTATAAAAAAAAAGTATTTATGGGTTTATTAAAAGAAATGTAAAAATTTTTATAAAATTATTCAATTCACCATTTTCATCATCAGATTTTTGGACAGCTACCATTTTATTTTAATTTTTCCTATGGATTATGTATAAAGTATTTAATTTGAATTTTAAATTGGTTTGTTAATTAATATGTAAATATTTTAGATTTTAGATATTATTAAAAGCACTCTTCTTTGAAGGTTTTTTATTTTATGAATTTATTTACGATTTATATATTTTATTGAGACATCGAATACAAATATTTGCTATTATATTTAAAATATATATTCAAAACAATTTATTTATAAAAACTCTATTATTTTATAAATAATTATAATTTATTTAAGTTTTAGAGTTAGAATTCTAACGCTTTAGATACTCTACTCGCGCCGACACTCAGTATTTTACTAAAGATAGACAAACTTTGCTAACGTTTGAATCAATGTATGAAATATGATTGCTAGTCTCTAGTTTATCTAACATTTAAGAATAAAATAATAAATGTAATAAGTATTTTGGTAAATATTTGCTATAAGAACTTTATGGAAGATGCACACGGCGACTCTTACTTATCTGTAAATGCAATTTTGAAAATCCTAATCTTATCTTACTTTAATTCTTTCGTTTCCTTAATGAGTATAACTTTTTATCTCAACCTAAAATATCTTCCAATTCGAAGAATACATATCACGCTAAATAGTATATATCTATGATATATACCATATATTTATACTTACCGAGAAAAATGTGCCTACCCACATACTTGTTAAATTGACCAGATCATTTAATAGAGAAATTTTGGATAATGTGGTAAAGAAGATATGAAAACCAACATGTGGTATGGTTGAATCAATATGTGTCGAGTGAGAATATTTTGACCTAAGATTTAGCTTAAATCTGGTTAAATCAAACAAAATGTTTTGCTGAGTGTGCTTTTAAAGCTAAACTTCCTGAGACTCTACCGTCAGTGAAGTGAACAAAATCAAGATGTATAACGCTCGAGAGCTCTATATATAAACAGATATAGCTTCGAATGAGAAAATTGTTACTTGAATAGTCTTAAATAAGTAGAATGAGTTTTATAATTAAATTTAAGATTTAATTATATATTAAATGATTGTTATATAAAAATATTTGAATTTCTATTGAATTACTTTTCAAGTTCATTGAATGAAAACGATACAAGATACATTACGAGCTTTAATCGTAGAAAATACACATTCAATAACGAAATATTTTTGTTTAGTAAGAAATGAAAAAAAAATTGATAAGATAAATATGTTTTTATTTTAAAAAAGTAATTGAAAATATTCCAAAAATGTTAATTTGATAGTAAACGACAATATTTTCAAATTAACACATTCACTGAGATGTGATTATAGGTCTACCATCAAACTAAAATGTCCATAAATACTACATGATGAAATTCAACTAAGATATTAACATTTATGCTATCTAATGATAGTTTTTTTTTCTATATGATAAATTACTGTTAATACTGAATTCGAAGCGAGAGAATACTTTTTTTTACATGGAAATACCTATAATAGTTAATGTAATTTAATTGCAAATACGTTGTAAATACCCAGAAGTTTTTAAATCTCACCACCTTTGCAACTCCACTTCAATATCTCAGACAGAAATATTCGCCATCCAAAAAGCCTTCTAATATATTCTTACAGCAAACATGAATTTCAAGAAAAAGGAAGTTCAGTTTTTCACTGACAGTCAGGCATATATCAAGGCTATTAAAGCAGTCTATATCTTGTCCAAGATAGTTCATGAAAAAGGCGATTTATTTACTTATAAGATAGTAGTATCAAGGCAACACTGTTTTGAGCTCTTGCACGTAGCAGGGAATAAGCACGCTGGTCAGCTAGCTAGAGTTGAGGTGTCTTAAATTTGTACCTCCCGTTTCAATTCCTGCTCCTAATTGATCCATATCCAGGCTAAACCAAACCTACCATCCGCAGACGAAATTTGACATAAGATCACTTTTTACGATTGGTTAACAGAAACTGGGGCTAATAATTTTATGCTCCATATTTGAAATATCTGATTTAATCAATAAAAATAATCGGCTCTAACGTAACACTAGATTGTAAAATGGCATGGAGCCAAGCTAAGCCTGCCCTTCTCAAACCCTTGTAAAACATGTTTGCCTGCGCTTGAGAGGGAGATATCGCAAAACTTGTTGTGACTTTGCCCAGCGTTATTCAGATTTAAGTTCAATTTTTTAGTTGCTCCATTCTTTGATTTACACAGCGATATTAACCATATTAGTAATGGTGAAATACTTTAAATTATTAATGTGTACAGGTGAACCAATCTTAACGGTTGTAGCTGACTATGGGTTTTAGTATTCTCTTCAAGAACATATCTTTAAAGTATTTATTTTATTCATTGATATTTCTCAGAGAACGGGATGACTAATATGTCGGCAAGAACTGTTCTACTTCGTAAAGTTAAAGTACACTTCCATGCTAAATAGGTCTTTATAGAATCTTATCTACATCTGATGTGTGTTTAACTTCAAACTATTTCTACACTTTATAAATATTAATAAATATTTTTTATTAGCTTAAATATTACGTTTACAATGGTTATTTAAAAGTGGGGAACCATTTTATAGTTTATATGGTTACTCAGTATTATATATGAATTATTTAATTATAATGTAAAATTAAACTAAAAAAAGGGAACAAAATTAGTTTTTAGATAAAAATGCATATTGCATGATAATCGTGCATATTGTATGAGTATTACATAAATTTTTTTCAAAAATATTATTCACATCGTAAAGATTATAAAAATACCTATTAAGATAGTTTACGATCGTAGAGTAAAATGTATATTTTAGATTTAATAGTAATTATAAGCATTTATTTTAATTTGTTTATACAAGTTTATTAAGATTAGAAGACGTTTATAATAATGTTTTTTAAATATCGAACACTCTTTAAGACTCTTTATATCATTAAATTAATAGATTAAAATTGTTAAGGTTTTTGAAATAATAATCCTGATATATTATAAATCTGATAAAATTCATTTGTGTATATTTTGAATCAGCTTCATTAGACAACTTCTTCTTTTTCTTTATTTGTCAATTCGATATCGAATATTGGTGATAATATAACATAAAACTATATTAAAGTTGATTTTTTTGTCGAGTGTGACGCGTCTTATGACGAAAAGAAAACTAGAAGGATTCGAGCAGTGATGAAGAAACAACAACAAAAATTTGATTAATTTATCGAAATTTGGCTGACCATACAACGCTGTTTGGAGTATTGCCATGTACTCGTCATCAGTGATCTTAGGATCTGAATGATCTTATATTCGAATTTTAATTTTTTTTTATATTTTTAATAATATTCCAACTTCTTTTTTATATTTTTATAAATTGATTTTTATTATTTTAATTTTTATTATTTTAATTTTTAATTTCTTGATTGGACTGCAAGTGTATGGCTTGGAAGTTGTGGTTGTTAAATAAAACTATATTGTTTGAATCAACTTTTAATAAACATAATTAAATTTTTTTTACAATTTGTACATATTGTTCACTATATAAGCAGAAGCTATATTTATAAGGTTGTCTCTCGTATTCCGGCCCTTTAAGTGTTTTTGCAGCCATGAAAATTGTTTCCTACTAAGATAAGTTAATCCAGCGATATGAATGCCTTGTTGACTTGATTCATACTAAAGTCCGTTTTGAGACTTAAGTTACAATTGAGAAATCGGGTCTTAATGTGATAATTTATTTATTTATTTTTTATTTATTTATTTTAGCAATTTACAAGAATAAATCTTATAATGACTGCAGCAATTACTGTTGTGCGAAAAATACAGATTATTTTTACACTTTAAATTTATATTAAGTTTGATTAAAATTAAATACTAAAACAGAAAAGCTATACATTTACAAAGTATAAAAAGTATAATATGATTATTAATGCTTACGTGTAAATAAAATCTCGTAATTATAATTTTATATGTACTATATATTTTAAATAAATATCGTCTTTTTCGGACTAGGTAAAATACAAGCTAAGCTTCCAGCGCCTTTTTCGAAAATATAAATTACAAAATAAACCAATTACATATAAAATTTATTTCAGTAATTTAGTTTTATACTCACAAAATAAAACCAAGCCAACCATTAGAAAAGGTGGAATGCAACCGATTTCAATGAAAACCGGAAACAGCATATTACCAGAAAGTGCACCTAAGCGACCAAACATCATAGCACATGAAACAACCAAAGTCCTGCCAGAGATAATGAATTTTTAAAAATATCTTTTTTTCTTTAATTTTAAACTTTTTTTACCTTAAAGTTGTTGGAAAAAGTGTGACTATAACGCTTAAAAGGGTTGAAGTAGAAACACTGCACACAGCAATAAATAAAGAGGATATAACCAATGTTGTTAAACCACTCGAGGACCAATAAAGGCTTAAACCACATGCGCCCGAAATGAAAAGGCCACAAACTGTAAAAATATGAAAAAGTTTTTGGAATTCATGACAATGAAAGTGGAATTGTGTGGAATTTTTATTTTTTAAAAATATTTAAAATTTCGTTAAAATATTAATTTTTATATGAAATTTTAAATTTTAAAAATTGTTTTAAGTATAATTTTAAAAGCTTGTAAAAGATTCCAATGATACATGGAAATTGGTGAAATAAATTTTAACATAATTTTTATTATGTTAGTTAACATGCCATGTTAAGCGGTTATAATTATGTTAATGAGAACTGTTCTTTGTAGTTATAAAAAGTGAAAACAAAAATTTAATTGTGTAAAGATGAATTTCTATTACAATAAATGATTTGAAATTATAATAAATTAATATGCAAATACACATACTCAGCATATTTTTAGTTCCCAAAAGATTTACTATAGAACCCGCAAAGCAATATCCTACAAGCGTTGCGACAGCAACAATAATATTATTGATGTACATATCCATAGAGACATGAGCATTCTAATGAGTTATAAAAGCATTAACATTAAGTCATCCTTGAAGATTTGATTATTGACTTTACTTACTGTCTCACAAGTTTCAGGGTAATTAATCACAGCTGTCGCAGTTTTATTAACACTGTATTCCAAAATTGTGCAGAGATTGGATGAAGATTTATTGCCCAGGTTTAATGCTTCATATTCGGCAATTGAAGCGAAAAGCTGTGGCAGCCAAAGTCTAATTGTGTTGAGCCTTTAAATAGTAATTTATACTATTAGAAATATTTCATTTATTGAAAAAAATTTTCTCTTTTCAGTAGTTACTTACCCAAGTAGCAGACAAAATTGCATTGTGTAAACATGTATAGAGTGACCTAATAAAGGTTTGCGAATCATTGGTTTCATTTGTTGTAAACCATCACGAAGCGCCTCCAAACCATTCCTATGCTTACGTTGTGTCAATGTGTTTGCCTTCGCTTCAATAGTGTAAACAGACTCATTGATATTACCATCACGACTTGGTACTTCCTCAACTAAAGATTTTATCTGCCATGAAGTTCTTTCGTTTTATTAAATATTCAAGTAGCTTTTACTAATTTCACACTTACTGGATAAGTAGATTTTGGTTTTCTGGTATTGAAATAATATACTTTTTGAAAAGCTAGCAAAGCTTCAGCATTTTTACCTTGTGACATCAAAAATTTTGGGCTCTCTGGCATTATTGTAAATAACAAACCACTCATTAAGCTGGGAAAGCAACAAATTGCTAGAAATATTTGCCAACTATGTACTGAAAATAAATTAAAAAATTAACTATATAACAACACAGTTAAGATATAAACCTACTACTAAAGTTTTCTGATATAACAAAATGCCATTCTTGTGGAAAAATAGCCCACGATAAAGCAGGCAGTGCTAAAGTTGCAGTGGAGGTTATAACGCCTATTATCAACACCACACGCGCACGATATTTGTTACCGTGTAATTCTGTCACGTAAGTAAGTAAGACTGCACCGGGACCATTGACACTGTAAAAAGCATCAACATTTATTTTTTTTAAATAAAAAACTATACCTGTTTGCATACTTACATAAATCCTCCAAAGAATTTGAAAACAGCAACCATTTCAAAGGTTTGACTCATTGCACTGCACAACACACAAACGGCATCTGCTATATAACCGAAGACTAAGATATTTTTACGTCCTTTCGTATCAGAAAGGTAACCCCAAAATATTGCTGAAGTAATCATACCGGCATATGTCATTGCATTCAGTACACCTTTGTCCAAGAGTGTGAGTTTTAGGTCACATTCTGCAACTGGCATAACGTAGGACATTGTTGTAGTTTGAAAAATAACAGCTGACTTTGCAGGGATTGCGGCGAGAAGTAAAATAAAATTAAATAGTCCAAAACCGGATGCACTAATTGCTGTCTCAAAATCGGCGGGTTCAGCTCTTACTAAAAATTAAAAATTTTTTTTTTTGGTTAAAGTATATAAAACAAAAATAAAATGAATTTTTTTGTTACATTTCTAACATAAATTAAAAAAGATATATAAAATATAAAATTAAACTGTATAAAAACTTTTAGTGTTAATAATAAGACGATTAAATTTATTTTTGTTGTTGATGTGCCATTTAAATATACTATTATATACCATCGTAGGTATTAGCTTTCGAAAATATGCCAAGCAATTGCTTCATTAATTATAATATATCCGTAAAAGATCTCTTACAGATAGCTCAAGTAAATAGAAATTCTATTTAAGGCTGAATACCATCGCTCATCCATATGGAAGAGAGTGTCTCTTCCGTATGTAGCTAAGTCCTTGAAAACACGTCTCAAGGTGGCTCATACTTACCTATATTGCGAAATTTTTTTATGACGTTTTCTTCATTAAAGAAAGCTCTCATGGATGTTAAAGATGAATGATTGTTAGTAATGAACATTGAGGCTCATGTAACTAGTGCGGCTAATATTAATAGACTCCTGTGCGGAGTTAATTAATTAAATTGAATAAAAATGGAGATAAAGTTAAATTGGGATTAAATGTTTTACCTACGGTACCAGAGAAGTTAATTTAAGAGCGAAGATCTTATCTTTTCTTTGGGACATATAGGATGGTATTATATGCTTAGAATAGCATTATATGCACCGATGTGTACATAGTCTTATTATTATGAATTCTATAATTTTTCAGTTAAATCTTTACAAGGTCATTTATTTTAAAATAATTTGCAGTAAAAATATATTTGTTGAAACTGACTTTCCCTTCTTTGCAGAGATGAAACGGTAACGTCTATTTTTTAAATGTTTATCTGGTTTATACAGTTGGGCAGATTGAGAGTATGTCTGAAGGGTATGTGTAATAGATTTTCTCAAAATATTGATTTTTTTGGTGAAAGAAGTATTTACGATATTGAAGAAGCTAACTATCCTTCATGTGAAGGAAACAAATTTTAGATGGGTTAGTGAGGTTTAACTAAAAAAGCTAAGAGTATTTTTAGTTATTGCAAATCTGCTATATTTGGGGGTGGAAAAATTATTTTTATTTTTTTTAAATGCATATAAAAAACATGATATTTTGACTTGAATGTGTTGAGAGAAACCTATTAATAATATTTTTATTACCGGCTACAGTTTACCTTTTTTGAATTAAACGTATGTTTAATAATTATTGTCATGTTTTTTGTTCAGTTGTCTATATTGCATTGGACATACACAACGGAACCAAAAACACGCCGAATGGATATAGATTTTATTAGAATTAATTCATGTTAATTAATTGTATTTAATTGAATTTTTATCTTGACGATGACCCTCAGGGAGAGTCGAAACATAGAATTATATTAAAAAATATTCAACAAACGTTTAATTTAAAAAAGGTGACCTGTTGCCGAATATAAAATATATTCAAAAATTTAAAAATTTATGTTTTTAATACTATGAATCCCCATATAGAGGTTTTTCGAACAGTGGTGAACTACAACAACAAAAATTCATTTCGTATTATTTTAATTACTTGACAGCTGTATGGTCAGCCGTTTCGAGTATTGCCAAATACCCATCATCAGTGGTATTGGAAATAATGAAATTTTATTTTAAGGAACTTGATCAAATTTTAAACAAAATATTTTTCTTGAAACCTACTTACCCCTTTTATTGTCATTCGGTCTAGTAGTGTCCATAATTGATAATTATATATTATATATTATTATCACAATAAAAAGTACGTACATAGAGCTCATATAATGTAGTAATTTATTATTACTTGTCATTTAGTTATAAGATATTTTTATTTCAAATACCAAATACACTTTTAAATAGAATTTTAAATAGAATTTCAATTAACAACAGAATAATGATAAATAAATGAATATTTTTTAATATTTGTTGAAGTTCATATATTAAAACGTTGCATGCAAATCAATTATTTTGTACACCACTGTTTCTTGATTGGAATGAACTTTATTAATTGATCTTTTGAATTCATCTGCAGAGCAATTGATGATGAAATTGTGTAACTCAGTTCCGGATACAAATACAAATTACCGCCGATATAGACTTAAGTGGTCCGCTCGTTTCGACTTGTAATTAAACAATAATGATAAAATTCTGACACTTTGTATTAAAATCGTTGATACCACTTCACTCAGATGGAAACATTTTATTTATATTTATTTGAAAAATAAATAGAATTATAATAAGCAAATAACGAGTTGCATGTTGAACTTATAGAACAAAAACGTCATCTCTATCTAAATGTAATTTCCTTAATCTAAACTTTAATCTTATCTTAAATATTTTTATTAAAGTTGTTATGGTACATATGTGGCTTTGTTCGGCTATACTTACTTAATGCTGCCTACTGCATTATTTACATAGTATTAAATGATATCAACTTATTAAGATTCCCATTTATAAGATATAGTTTCATCATAAATTTTTTCAGCTCATCACTGAATTCACGGTGTGAAAGTGCGTTCACACAGCAAGATTATAAAGAAGTTCTTAATTCAAACTATTATTAAAATTGGAATTGAAAGTAAATTCAACGTCCTTTACGATAATGATAGATAAGGTTGTTAATGTATTATATTATATTATGACATGTTTCAAAAGACCGTTAGACAATTAGAAATTGATTGTATATCTAAGAACTTAGTCTTTCTACAAAAAGTTTCCAGTTGTGTCTATTCCGTGTCATGTATCTAAGCTCTTTAAACGATTTGGACATTTCGGTGAATACTGTTCGCCTCTATGTTGCCTTTGCACGTCCTCTTCTTCTTAATCCTACCGGGTTCTATTCTAAAGCTGAAGGACTGATATCACCACATGTAATTAATGAAATAATTTTATTAAATTCTTTCTATTCAATATATTCTTGAATAAGATATTCTTGATTATTTCAAAAATAAAATTTTTGTAATTCTAACCAATTATGATTATAAAGAGATACATTTATAAGCAAGTCAATCGCACTAGTACAGTAATTATGTTATATATGCATGCATAACAATAAAATAATATGTATAATAATATAATATAATCAGTTTTTTGGTATGTAAACGGAGTTCCATTAATTGACTATCTTAAAAAAGGGAAAACAATTAATTTTGAAAGACCTTTTTTTAAATTAGACTCGTTTAAATTAGACCGACTTAGTTGCGTTATTCCAATTATTTTTATTTTTTAAACGTATAGGACTCATTTGTCAGACAGCTTATCAACAGGAACAAAAAAATTGTTAATCTGTTATAATTTATTTTATAAGTAGTGTTCCACAGTATAATTGGTCTATAAATATCACATAAAAATATATGTTCTTCTTCGTGCATTTAGCATATAATGATTGGTTACTATTTGCTTTGTATAAATTCGTTGTGAAAATACCGGAAGTCCCATTGCTAGATATCTAAATCTAGTTAAAATCTATTTTTCTATTTTGTCAATACCCATCATTTGGAATTTAAGTGTGCTTTGCCGAATCCATAAAGAAAGTGATTATAAAAATTGTGCTAATTATAGCGGGACCAGCCTTTTAAATATTGCAAATAAGGTTCTGTCAAACGTACTATGTGAAAGATTGAAGCCAGTTAATCGTAAACCAACTGATTGGACCTTATCAGCGTGGCTTTAGAACTAGCAAATCCACCCTAGACCAGATATTTACAGTACGCCAAATTCTGGAGAACACCCAAGAAAAAGCAAATCGACACTCACCATCTATTTGTCGATTTCAAAGCCGATTTTGACATTACGACTTGAATCATTCTTTATGTTGCTGATCTGAATTTCGTACTCCAGCAAAACTTATACGGCTATGTAAAATGACATTATTCAACACCACCAGCTCCAATAGAATTGGGAAGAACCGAGCAGTTTGATACCACATGATGTTTCAGACAGGGTGAATACTAGTCTTGTGACTTCTTTAATCTAACGTTGGAAAGGATAATCCAAGCAGCAGATTTAAGTCGTACTGGCACAAAAGTGTGATGCTGATACGTTCGCCTGTATACCAACGCCGTCAGTGCGGGACTTTTCAACTTAGAAAAACAAGCGAAACAAATGGGTCTTATGATACATGAGAGTAAAACAAAGTGCCTTCTGTCAACAATCAAATTTCGGCTTTGTTGGATTGTTCATGATGGGCAAATGGAAGAAAATCCTTGGGTTAAAAAAGTGTTTGATTCGGCACCTAGATTGAAAACGCGATAGCGGACGTTCGCAGTTTTGGTAAAACGACGACGATATGAAGATGCTTGGTTCTTATAATTGGCGAGAGCAAGCCACTGATCGGGCTGGTTGGCGAGAGCAAGCTGCTAATTGAGCTGGCTAGTGAGGCTCGCGCTGGCTGGTGAGAGTAAGCCACTAATCGAGCTAACTGGCGAGAGCAAGTTACTGATTGAGCTGGCTGGCGGAGGTTACTGGACCAAGGAAACTTCACGTGTGTAATACCCAACTAACTAAGAATGCAAGTAAGTAAGTATATTAATATTTTGTAAATTTTTTGTTGTATTTTTGAACGTGGGGAGAATTATTGAGCAACTCGCATAAATTCCATTATCTGATGTTTTTTAGATGATTATTTAACATTACTCGTATAGTATATGTATCTATAACACTTTCTCTTCATATACCTTCTCTTCTCTTCATAACTTTCAAACAACTTAATCTTGAAAGTTGTTTTATGTGATTGAAATAAATTAGTGATATATTGCATTTTAACTTAATTATTTGTTTTTATTGATATATTTTTTTATTGTTTTTAAGTGACATTCTTCTATAATATTCTCTTATTTTAAAACTATATAAATTACCAAATTGATTAAATAATATTTTATTTTGTAATATTTCAAACTAGAAAAATAATTTCATGAACAGTCTTTAAAAATCTTAGGCTAATAGTTGTTATATATAAATTGAATTAAATATTTCTTATTGGTAAAAGTATTGTGCCTTATATTAATCATTAATCTAAATTATGCGTAAAGCCATATATTTTTAAAAGTAATTAACTCTAATATATTATATATTTTAACTATCTTGTGCCACAGAATTATACTACTTGATTTTCTCATGATCATATTTAAGTAAATGTGGTTTTTTTAGGACTTGGTAAAATGCAGGATAGAGCCGCAGCACCTATGAGAAATTGTAAGAATATATAGTCAATAACTAATAATAGGAGTACTAATGTAATTAACTTACAAAACATGACAAAGCCCACCATTAAAAATGGTGGTATGCAACCGATTTCAATAAAAACTGGGAACAACATATTTCCGGAAAGAGCACCAAGACGACCAAACATCATGGCAGATGCAACGATTAAAGCTCTAAAGTAAAAAAGAATATTGTTAATGTAGATTAATAAATAAGTTATTAATTATGTGTATATACCTTAAAGATGTTGGAAAGAGTGTCACCACTACGCCTAATAATGAAGATGTTGATATGCTTGAGACTGTTATAAAGAACGATGATATAATCAGTGTAGTGAGACCACTGGAGGACCAATAAAGACTCATTCCACATGTTCCAGAAATGAAAAGTCCATATGCTGTAAAATTAATTTTATATATATCGATTATTGTTTTGGTAAGATTTAATAGAAAAGTATAACAAAATGTTTTCGGTTATTCACCTTTATTTTAATAGTATAGGATTAAGTATTATTAATCATATATTAAGTAATGTATCAGTATTAACTTACTCAGCATTCTTTTTGGACCCAAAAGTTTAACTATTCCACTTGCAAAGAAGTATCCAACAATACTTGATGTGGCTACTATTATATTATTAGTGTACATATCCATAGAGACATTAGCTTTCTGTTATTAATTTTATTAATAAATTATTAATTGAATAAAATGAATGAAGTCAACTTTATCTACTCACACTTTCACAGGAACTATGAGTGTATGTCTCCACAGTTGCTGTCGTCTTATTGACGCTGTACTCTAAAATCGTGCAGAGATTTGATGATGAATTCGTGCCGACATTGAGTGTCTCATATTCAGCAATTGAAGCAAAGAGTTGAGGAAGCCAGAGACGTATTGTGTTAAGCCTATAGTGAAATTATTATATATATAACGTTTTATATTTGAAATACATTTATACTTAATGGGAATATTATATTATATATTGATTAATTGAATAATTTTAAAATATTAATTTATTTACCCAAGTAGAATACAAAATTGCATGGTATAAACATGTATGGAATGACCTAGTAACGGCTTACGAAACATAGGCTTCATTTGTTGCAGTCCTTCTCGAAGTGCTTGCATAGCAGTTCTGTGTTCACGGACTGGTTTTTTTGGCTTATTTTCGATTGTATATATGACTTCATTAGCATTAGTATATCTACTAGGCGCCTCCTCAACTAATTCAGTAATCTGAAATAATATATATATAATACTAAGACATGACTATATAAAATTCTAAATTAGAATACCAATATATGTTTAGTATATGTTTAATTTGATATAAATATCACTTACACTATACATAATGATTGCTATGTTGTTTATACTTACCGGGTAAGTGCTTTTTGGTTTTCTCGTATTGAAGCGATACATTTTTTGGAATACTCGCAAAGCTTCTGCATTTCTGCCTTGTGACATTAAAAATTTTGGACTTTCCGGTAAAATTGTAATTAACAAACCGCTTATTAAACTGGGTAAGCCGCAAACAGCCAAAAATATTTGCCATGTATGCACTAAAATATATTTATTAACAATTTAAAATACAACAAACACTCAATATGTGTTAACTTACCATTAAAACTATTAAATAGAACAAAATCCCAATCTCTGGGGAAAATAGCCCAAGATAGACAAGGAAGCACTAAAGTCGCAGTCGAAGTCACGATACCCAATATCATTAACACACGTGAGCGATGTTTATTTCCATGTAATTCTGTTATATAAGTAAATAATACGGTACCAGGTCCATTGACACTTTAAAAAGAACACATTGAAGTAAATATTAAACAAGTGTATTAAGTAAGGAAATGTATTTAAAATAATTATGGGACTTACATAAATCCTCCTAAAAATTTGAATACAGCTAACATTTCGAAGGTTTGACTCATAGCACTGCAATAAACACAAATTGCATCGGCAAGGTAACCAAACACCAAAATTTTCTTTCTTCCCAGTGTGTCGGCGAGGTAACCCCAAACAAGAGCCGACACGATCATTCCTCCATATGTCATAGCATTAAGCACGCCTTTGTTTATTAATGTTAGCTTAAGATCACATTCAGCTATTGGTAATATATACGACATTGTTGTCGTCTCAAAGACTGAGGCAAAAGTGGCTGGTATTGCTGCCAGCAATAAAATTATATTAAAAAGTCCAAAGCCGGCAGCATCAATGGCTTTCTCGAAGTCTGCAGGTTCATTTTTGTCTAAAATAAAATTAAATAATTAGCATGCAGTTCTAATATAGAAATTATTTTAATAAATAATTTAAGATTATTTTAATAAATATTATTTTATCTTTTTTTTTATATGTTTTATTTTATTTTATTTAATTAATTTGATATAATGCAATTTAATTTAATTTAACTTAATTTAATTTAATTTAATTTAATTTAATTTAATTTAATTTAATTTAATTTAATTTAATTTAACTTAATTTAATTTAATTTAAATTAATTTAATTCAATTTTATTTAATTTTATTTTATTTTACCGTATCTATTTCATTTTATTTAATTTAATTTTTTTTTTCTTTTATTATATTTTAGTTTATTTTTATTTTTTCAAATTATATTATTTATTTTATTTTATTTTATTTTATTTTTAATGCACTACTAATAAAAATAAGTGACTATAGTTATAAAATTTTATCAATTCCTTGGTCTTGGATTTGGTAGCCTTGTTTCACTGACATATTGTCAATGAAATACTGCCAATGAAAATTCTTTTTGGTTCAAAGCCAAAAATAATCTAATAGAGTAACATTGTCTTATCTGGATCAATAAAACGCCACAAATAACTTTCGGAGGATCATCACATTCACAAAAAATCATTGTATGGTGTGATATTAAGTCTAGAGTTGTTAAACCCATATTTTTTTAGGAAGGGGCAATATAATTGTCATTCCTTTGAGATGAAAATAAAGACATGTATGTTAAAGAAATGTGGTTTGAACAGGACAATGTCTGGAAATCCATATTACCTCTTGATTATGCTTTGTTATGCGAGAAATTTTCTGGTCTTCTTAATAGCATATTTTGGAGAACTTTTGATGTTCTACTGCTTTTGGTACTGTTTGTTCCACAAAATTATATCTGCAGGATTTTTTTTTTTTTGGCATTGTGCTTTTAAGTGTCACATAAACTATTCGAGATGTATATTGCTGTACTGATTATAAATTGAATTTGCAGAAAATTTTTAATTATATTATACTTGCATAATGGAAGGAAGTAACAAAGTAAACAGAGAAGTAACAGAGAAAGTGTCATTATTAGTATTTTCGAAAATTTTTTAAATCGCAAGTATCAAGAGTTTCCTTCGTCATATTTGATTTTAAATAAAAAGTATTAGTATATATTTTTACTAATTATATCAACTGGCCAGAAAGATTGGAAAAAATCGAAGTTGATTAATAAAAGTTTCCATTTTTAATAAAACTTTCCATTTTTAATTAAGTATTTTTGGCATATCATTATGCAAAGAATTATAATCGGAAAACCTTTATTAATTATTTGATGTATATATCTAAAATTAATGTTCAGTAACAAATATTTATAGAGTCTCACACTGTTATTCTACGATATAAGAGTCAGGTTTGTTAGCTTTGTTATTAAAAAAAATAGTCACAAAAGCGATTAACACCTATCGATATTCCTTGACAAATGCTATCTATGGACTGGGACTTCCTCTTTAAAAGTGAAGCAGATAAATATGTCACAGTTGAAGACATGTTGATCTAAGTACAGAGAGTTATTTCTTCATGTGTGACGGAACATATTCAGAAAGTTTTTAGTTTTAACGAAACTGTGCTATATTATATATTTTGTGTAAAAATGCTCTGATAGGTTATTGGTTTTAATTAAACCTTTTAATTTTTTTTTTGTGGTCAGAGACATCGATGAGTCCTGAAAGTAAATCTTAGAAACAATTTTCGTTGCCATGAATGTCACTGGGGCACTTCCTTTCCGATACTGTGAATTACCGCCGGAAATGCAATTGCACCAGACAACAGAGACATCAATGAGTTTTAAAAAGTAAATGTTAGATATGTATATATTGTTTCCATGAATGTAGCTGGGGTACTTCCTTTACGGTATTGTGAAGTACCGCCGGAAAAGAACTCTGGTCAACCAGATTTTTGATCTGAGAAAATTATGATTATATTTCATGAATTTTGCGCTGCTGATCTTAAATTCGTATTTAGTTTTTGACTATCATGTTAGGTTTTTGAGATATAGTGTACTTCTTTTGTAATGGTCCTATATGTGACATTGTTTTTTGACTTCAATATATTTTGATCTGTTACAGATCAATAAAAAGTACTTAAACAAGTAGTTCAGTATGAGAAGAATGGAAATTGGATAATAAGTGCGATGCCGTAGTTGAAATTAAAAAAATCAAAAAAATAGTGAGTTTATTATCAATTTCTGAATATGTACATTCGAAAACTGGCATCATTTGTATAGATATTAAAAATTAGACCCAAATTTGTTAGCATGTGTTTATGCTGTATGGATTTTTGATGTAAAGGGCAAAATATAATAGATACAGCCTAAAATATATATAAAACTAATGAAAAGTAAGAATTCCAAAATGTAGTCCATAAGGTGTTTTCATAACCGCATGAAATGTTCTATTTACCAAAAAAAAAAAAATAAATAAAAGTCTAATTGGTCAAAACTGTGGGTATGAACTCATATTTTAATTTTTCAATTTTTATAGAACATCCGTATATAATTATTTATAAGAATAAATTGTAACTTTTTCTAAATATTTAAATTCATTGAAGAACAAAAACGTCCAACGGCCAAAGTATATAGAAAAGTTTAGCATTCAATGTAGGGAATATATTTCGTTATGGAGGTAATGCACTGTTCTCTTATTACTATTATATCTACTGATATTATTATTAGTGTCAAAAAAAAAATACTAAAATTTAGTTTATTCGCATTTTTTTAAAATTATTTTATATTATTTTATAATAAAATAAATAGAAAAAATAAGGTTTTTTAGTATTAATTTTTATTAATGAACTTTACCTTTTTTATCATCATTGTTTTTAACAACATCCATATTTAAAATATAATATTTTGGCGTATTTAAAATTAGAATAAATAATACTGTATCACTAGTAAAGAATGTATCACTAATTCATTCAAGTTGAATAACCTTATCACAGTTTTGTTCATTTGTTGGATATATATTTTTTTGCACATATGTTCCTTAATTTCATATTTCAGTATGATTTCACTATTACCACAAAGAACAAAAATTAAAATGAATTAATTAAACAATATATATATATATATAACACATTTAACAGTGTTTAAATTGTCCTTAAGCTCTGTTTTTAGTGTTAATAACAGAATGTTGTTAAATGTTAAATTGAATTTCATTATTTTTTGTATGTTAAAATGATGAGATCCAAATATCTCACGAATCGAACAAACCTGCTAAGGTAATTCAATATTTCTTAAGTTAATTATTGTAAAATTAATTGTTCACATTTTTTAAAGGATTTTTTTTATTAAACATCACTAGTTAAGAATTTAAAAAAATTTTATGTAAAACTTTTTTTAAAAACATTTTATCACATTGCATATGTGTACATATATAAATATTTAAAATTAAATTTTTTTAAAGTTCACTGTTTTAGATTCTTTATTCATCTACGACGTATGCAAATAATTAAAAATATTTAAAAAATTAATATATGTTATAATTTTATGATATATTTTATTAGTTTTCCAAAGTTTTTTTTTAATTCTTTCTCAGGGCAGGTTATTTTGCAAGTTATTTACTTGTAATATATAATATTTAATTTAATATTTATTTAATATTTTAATGATGACAGTAATATTTTCCATTCATGCCAAGATTTTAAGTAAGACTAATTCTTATTGCACCTAAACTTGACACAAATATGGAATTAAGATAATAAAACACAATTAGTTAAAAAGTATACATGTGGATGTTATATACCTATAAAAATATATTTATTAAAATATGTCTAAATATATATAAAAATACATTGCATATTAAAATAAATATTCTGATATTTTTTTTAGCACAAAACTCGAGATAAACTGAGTAGAAATGTCAACAAAATTGTTTACTTCAAACACAATGTCACTGTTTTCTACATTATTGCATTATGGTCCCATCGTATGCGTTTTAACACTGCACTGTTAATATTAACTTAACGCAATTCTGTTATTAACATTAATACAGTAGATAATAAAAGCCGTGTTTATTTTGTTCTGATTTCAATTTGTTAGTCATAGAGATTAAAAAATATGTTTTCAAAAAAATTAAAAGGATTTTTATTGTATTATATGAAATTGTAGAGATTTTACGTTTTAATACATTTCAATTAAAATACACTCCACTGTATTCAAGTTCAAATTAATTGATGATGTTTTTTATTGATGGTTAACTTGCACAATTCAAAATAAATTTCTAATAAATTTTTCAGAATTAAGTTCACTTTTTTTTTGAATCGTAGTTCTATTCGCGTCGACCGACTCCAAGACAATAATGAGAAATTGTTGCAGCAGTGCCTTAAAAGCATTACGATGACTTTTCAATTTATATGTACATTTATTCTATCATAAAAATTTATATATAACAGTTTAAAAAAATAAACATAATTATAAAATGTAAACAAGCTTGCACGTTGAATTTTATGATAGAAAGTATATATCAAACGCATCTATTTTCTTCAGCTGTAATCTTCCTAAATCTTAATCTTATCTTTTCAACTTAACTTTTTCTACTCGCTTGAAAGTATCTAGGTATATTCATATTCTTGAAAATTTTGTAAAAATGACGTTAAATATTTCAAGATTTAAGTTTCTTAAAGTTCTTGTATATTTATTTATTTAATATTTAGACCCTGTACTCCAAATACTGTAAGTTAAAAATACATTTGGAAAAAGTATGGAAGTATAGATCTATTTTGGAAGAAGATTTCTAGTAGTAGTAGTATCAGAAATGTGCGATCTCACGCCATACAAACATGATTTCTTTGTTGAAGTGACGTCATAATCAACATTGGAATAAACAAGTTTTCATTTAAAGCATAGTAAGTCATATTTGTATATATTTGTGATAATGTACATGTCTATTTCACAAGTCACGATGAACTGATTTATGTGCATTTCAAGATGCCTGCAATTAGACTGCTTTGGAGATGGAGAGAAAAAAAAATAGTTTGTACTATTTTTGTATATAATTTGTAATAATATAAAATATTTTGGACAAATGGAATAGTCAACAAACGTTTATTGATAGTTTTGTAATTTTTGCGATGCTACGAGTACCTAGATTAAGAAAATGTGGTGCGACAAGCAAGAAATATTCACCCGGAAAGGAATCAAGCAACGATATAGTTTGTCGATAATATAATTATTATTCATTAATGAGATCAGTAAGTATTATTCTTTTATTATAAGAATCAACTTCGACTGGTCATATTATTGAATTTGCTTACAATGTAGTACCTTGTTTTTATTATAGTCAATATAATTAAAGGAAATAAACCATTCTGCCTTTCAAAACCGTAGATATTTTGAAATATTTGCTCTCCGAGATTTTGTTTAAGAAGTGTTAATTTAGTAGCTTTGCCATTATTAAAAGCCAAAAGATAAAAAAACCATAAATTATTCTTCATCACAAAAAAAGCGGTTGGAGATTATATCAGAGTTGATGCTCTTCAAATGAAACATTTGATATCTGTACTGATCAAATTGTTTAGAATATATAAAAATGATCTACTTGAATTAAAAGTAATACTTTTATATAAATCATCACTAAAACGACAAAGTTTATATTGTCTAAAATCAATATCTGCCAATATCATAAATATGTACAATATATACATATATGTACTGTGAATATATATAGTCTGTTCAATAATTAAAAAAAAAATGTTGTTTAAGAATTGTTGTCTTTTAATTTAATTTATTATATAAATTATGCAATTCAAATATAATTTAAAAATAAACTTAATTAATTTAAAATTTAATTAATTCAAAAATTAATTAATTTGTAATGAAAACATGTAATGAAATCATCAAAAATATATATTAATAATATGGTCTTCTCTATAAAAAAAAGAGAAAGGGTATAGTATTAAATCCTGCTGCTGAGGGATTAAATTGACATTTGTAAACAGTTTTACGAATTACATCATATTCGTGAGATTCAAAATGATAAATAAATTCAATATCTGTTCTCTCCAGTGTAAATAATTTTCTTATTCCTTTAGACACTTCTAAAGGGCCGAACAGTTTCATTATTATTTTTGATTTTTGACTGAATATCCGATCTCTTTGAGTATTTTCAGAATTGAGTTCACTGAACATAGAATATAATATATTAAATATAAATGGAATGTCACTGCACCGATCAAAATCTTTCTCGAATGAAATTCCTGAATCATCACTAATTAGTTTACATGAGGTGTACTCAGGCATTAATAATTCATTAAATATTTTAAATATAGTAAGATGGTAAAAAATAAATTGGCTCCGCTTTTCAGTTGTTAGTTCCGATTGGGAATTATCCCATATCATAGATCTCCAAGATTGTAATCGATTTTCCGTTCTAATAACATTACCCCATATTTTATGTGTAAGTACACGGAAAATCGCAAAAATAAAATGCAAATTGAATTTTTCAAACTCTCTCCAAACGATATTTAACATGAAAACTGGAACTAGTCTTCTTTCTCTTCTTGCTATAAATTCTACGGCTTCAATGATTATCGAGAGTACCTTAGAAAATGTGTCATTTCGTTGTCTTGTAATTGCAGATTTGTAGCACATGTAGTGATCCACTACGTCCCGCATGGTCTTACAAGTATTCCGGAGTGCATTCAATTCCCGTGATGACAACTTATCGAAAATAATATGTAAAATATCGGTTGGTATTTGTTCCATCTGCAATCAAAATAAGAAAGGTTTAATATAAGTTTTAATAAAAAATACATATATTTTATATACAATTATTATCAAAACTATTAATCAAGAGAGAATTGCATATTATAATTATTTATATGAAATATTTTTAAATACATTATTTATATACATACACTAAATTATAAAAATTCATACGTATATAAAATGAATCTTTTTTAATTCTTCATTGAAATCCTTTCTTTTATTGATATATATTGTGCTATAGTTTGTTAAATTACCTTTCTGCTCCGAAGATTTTACTATGGTGTTTAGTGTAGCTGACTTCCTAAATGAGTTTCTATATATATATATATAAATAAGTAAATTGTAGAAATCGATAATCAGATTTTCAGGTAAATATATTTAACATCATTTAAATATCATGCATGTAGCAGGTAAACATACGTTTCGTCATATGTTCACTTTTACTAAAACGATTTTTACAGGTAGGTTATGATTTAAAATAGAAGAACTTATATTATTCTTAGAAAAACTACAATAAAAATTGTATTGATTATATACGTTTTTATGAGAGATCATAAAAATATCTTTAACTCTTTAATTTCTTTATTTTTATTTATTGTAAAGTAAAAACAAAATATTAAAAATAATGTGGATCCATGCATTATTCAATCTTAGGAAGGGATTTAATGTTATTTATGTTGAGAAAGGTTATAGATCAAATCAATATGCATATCAACTATATTAAATATAGAATATTAAATCTGCAAATGATCGAGATCTAACAGGTAACACGTTCTTTTTTGTATTGGTTGTACATAAAAACTAAAATCTCAAAACTGTAATTTTGTACCGGTTCCATGATTTGGATCCTGAATTCTATAAAACAGATACATAATTTGGACCCAAAAATTCTTAAAATTTATTACTTAAATATTTTTATTATTGATATTTAATATCAGTAGTCATATATAATTTATTATTTTTGTATTTTTTTAAATTAAATATAAATATATCATGTAATTTATGCATTAAAATAAAGTATGCATTGCTTAATAAATTTTAACTATATTTATATTTGTACTAATAAATTCATCAGGGTAGTTTGTAAAAATTGCGAAATTGAACAAACTCCCGATAAAAAATATGCGGTTTATTTAACAGTTACTATAATTATAAAAATAATATTATTTTAGAAATAACAATAATAACAGTACTTGCTGGGTTGAAGCCAAACACGTTGGATAAAGAAGTTTCGAGAGACTAAAGCCGTCATTTCGTCATCCAAAATGAATGGAAGCACATTTTTTATATATATGTAAACTTATTATGAAATAAAATAACGAAGAATTAAGAAAGAGTTCAAATGAAAAGAAAGGGAAGAATTAATATTTCTCCTTTTAATGGTGTAGTTTTTATTAATTATCGCAGGGTTTGCTCAAGAGAGTATCAATGGGACGTAAAATCCTCGAAAAGGGAATTGAACAGTTTGTATGCAAAAATACTTAAAACATTTTAATCCTTTCAAGTTGTGATCTCTCTTCTTGAAAATATGCTCTACAAAATGGCATAAAGACCTTAGTTTTATTCAAGCTAAGAAATTGCTTTTAAGCTTAAATGTAGTAAAGGGTTCGGCAGGGCGAGGACTGAAACTAATGCTGAACTATAATCCAATTTTAACAAAATATGAGAATCAAAAACAGTACATATTAAAAATTGTTCAATATTACCGCCGTCGTTTCCCAAATTGTAATAAACACATTTTGCTCCAGCAACTTTAAATAAATTAATAAAAATCATGTCGGAAAAAACCAGAATTATTTTTATCAGAAGAAATATTAAATTATTGCAATTTTTGTAAAGCTGAAGCGAACTAATAATTATTCAGCAATTATTAGAAATAGACAAAAACTTTGTATGGGTGAATTGTTTATTTTTAATAGATTTATAACTTTTGAGAAGACAATTTTTATGTAAAACAAAATATGTTGAAGATATAAGCAATCAAATATTTTATTGTAAAAATGGTTATTTTCCAATCTTTAAGGTTCTTGGGCGCCATTTTCACTTATCCAATTGAACTAAAATTTTACATATTATTTTTTTAGTAAAATGAACCGATCTGGCGGTTGCCGTCAACTAGTTATTCCAAAAAAAAAAAAAATTGACCACATACCTTATTGACACTAATGTGTATATTTAGGATGTTGGTGTGTATGGATCTTGGACAATAAAAACAACTTTATCGTTTCGGTAATGATTTATGTAAAATAATTACTTTTAATTCAAGAGTATTATTTCAAACCAAATGCAGTATAAATACTGACTTTTGTACATTCTGAAAAGTGTTTTTGACGACTTCTAAATTTAGAACCTACACATTTTAAATAAAACATCAACAATATCAAGATTTTAGAGCAAAATATCAACTAAGATCAAGAGTAATAAAATCAAGAAGAGTATATGAAATTTTGTACATTTTTCATAATATAAAGTGGTTATATTAACTACATGTTTTAGTTGTCTAATTATAAAGGTCATCGCTTTAATTTATTGCTCAGTGGATCTTCATGGATTTTACATATGGATTTGATAAAACGATACAAAAGGATTATATAACATATGTTGTCAAAATATTACTACAGAACTTTTAGGTAAATTATTTATAAAATAATATAGTTTTTAAAACTGAATATATCTATGATTGCTAGACACAAGTTTACTTTAACAATATAGAGCATTTTTTCTATTCAATACAAAGAACAGAAGGTGTGACCTGTTTGATTTCTAAGTATTTCCTGATCTAATAGTTACTAATATAACAATATGCAACAACTTCCTAAGAATAATATATGGATCCAAATTTACATGAACGAATATTTCATTAAATAAAAATAAAAAAGTTAAAGAGTTTATGAGATTTACATAATTCTTCGTATTAACGTATATATTAGTTCAAGTACTAGTATTCAAGTATTTTGGTTTTTCTCAAAATTAATACATAACCTTCAGACTTATGAAAATTAATCAAATAGATTTAAAGAAAGATGTGTTTGCCTGTTATTAAATAAAATTTGTTTACCTGAAAATCTAATGATCTATTTCCAAAATATCACTATTTTCATATAAAAGACACCACATTTTAGAAACATCTTCATTCATAAGGCCAAATACAACTAAGTGATATTAAACACTGCACTAATTTGGACTAAGAACTTAAAAAAATAGTTTGTAAAATAAAGCTTAATAGTTATCAAAAAAAAAAAAATATAGTTAATAATTATTACCGTTTGTAATTTATTTACATTTAAACTAAAGGTATTAAAAGGATTTCTGTTGTATATAAATAAGTTTTAAAGTTAAAAGCAAATTTGTGATTGTTTTGCTATTATTTATAAATTTATTTAATTTATATTTTATTTATTCAAAAATTAAATTTAATCTCTTTTATTTTGATTACAGAATGGAAAACCTGCCAACCGATATTTTATATAAGATGTTCGGCGAGATGTCACCGCGAGAGTTAAATGCACTTCGGAGTACTTGTAAGACTATGCGGGACGCAGTGGATAACTACATGTGGCACAAATGTGCAATTATAAGACACCGAAATGACGCGTGTTCTAAAGTACTTGATATAATTATTAAAGCGATGAAATTTATTGTTGGAAAACAAAGAGATCTCATTCCCATCTTCATGTTGAATATTATTATTACCGAATTTGAAAAATTCAACTCACATTTTATTTTTGCGGTTTTTCGTGTGCTAAGACATAAAATATGGAGTAATCTTATTAGAAAAGACAATGAGATATCGCAAGATATGATATGTGATAGCTCAGAATCGATACAAATAACTAAAAAACGTACCCAATTTATTTGCTATCATATAACAGTATTTAAAATAATTAACGAGTTACTAAGGTCTGAATATACCTCATGTAAACTCCATACTGATGATTCAGGAATTTTATTTGAGAAAGATTTTGAACGTTGCAGTGACATTCCATTTATATTTGATATTTTATTTTTTCTGTTCAGTGAACTTAACTCTGAAAATACTGAAAAAGTTCGTACATTCAGCCAAACATCAAAAATAATAGTGAAACTGATCGGTCCTTTGAAAAACACCAAGAAAAAAGATGTTGAGTTTATTTATCATTTTGAATCACACGAATATGATGGAATTCGTAAAACTGATTACAAATGTAAATTTAACCCTTCTGATGCTCGATTTGAAACCATACCTTTTCTGTATTCTTAAAAGAAATCATATTTTTGAGATTTTTTCTAGATATGTTATTAAGTTAAACAATAGGGTATCCATATACAATAGATATACAGCTAGATAAATCTAATGTATAGATATATTTTTGTGAAATTGTATCATTACCGAGTTACCGAATTACCAAGGCATCAAATCTAATCATTTTTTCGATTTTGGAGAAAATGTATGCCGATTCTTATTATTGTAAAGAATTGAATAAAATTAAAATTGAATTTGAAATGTTTGAAAAATATATTTTGAAAAATATAATAAATAAAGAATTATAAATAAAAAATTTAATAAAATAACAAAATTTACTTTAATATTTATTATTTCATCTTGCTTCTAACGCAAAGTAAACAAGAACAGAAGTTGCTTCAATTTACTGAAAGTAAATTGAAACGTTCATATGATTGTTATAATCATTTCATCAATTACCGAGTTATCGCGCTAAGACGATTATTTCTTTTAATTTTCTGTAACAAAATTGTGCGTAAATCAAATCATTATAATTGAATTTTGATTTCATTTTGATTTTTGATTAAGTTGTAATTAATTGAATTATAAGTTGATATAAAATATTAAATGATATAAATTCTAGAAAGTAGTTCCGAACCACAGGCAGTGTGTATAATTGTTGCTTGTACGTTTGGATATTAAGTGCTTTTAGTGGCTATTTCACATTGTAATTTTTATAATTAGAATAATAATACATCACCACATCTTGAGGTTTGTATGAAACCACCTTGTATGAAAACTAGCCTTGCAACTCCGAAAACAAACTGGCTTTAATAATTATCACTTTAATAATTTATCACATAAAATTATAAAATGCGAGACCCACATAGAAGACGCCGTTTATGTTTATGATCTTAACCCAACAGCAGAGAACTTTATCGATAAATAATAATAATAATAATAATAAAAGCGTAGACGTGAAAATTGCCCAACAGCCGGTACTGTGGCCAGAAGAGACCTATTGTACCAGCTTCACTATTGATTAAACAAAGCTCCTTAGAGCTTTGTGAATAAAGTCTAGAACTAAATCTAAAGAAAAGTTCTTAATCTGCTCTGGTGACAAAAATACTTTATAAAACAGGTTTCTTCTGTGCGTTATTAAAGCTGGAAAGAATGTGCATTGTCGTTTCCTCATCTTCGAGGCATAATCTGCATTCCGAGTTAGCAGATAATTGTAGTTTATGAAGGTGATATTTCAGACCATAATGAAACCCGTTATCAACCTTAAATTACATTTCGAGAATTTAAGAATGTCTTTGTTATCAGTGCTTTGCTTCCAGCCGCATATGATTTTCCATTTCCTTGGTAATCTGTTATTCTAATTATAAAAATTACAATGTGATATAGCCACTAAAAGCACTTAATATCCAAACATACAAGCAACAATTATACACACTGCCTATGGTTCGAAACTACTTCCTAGAATTCATATTATTTAATATTGTATATCAACTTATAATTCAATTAATTACAACTTAATCAAAAATCAAAATGAAATCAAAATTCAATTATAATGATTTGATTTACGCACAATTTTGTTACAGAAAATTAAAAGAAATAATCGTCTTAGCGCGATAACTCGGTAATTGATGAAATGATTATAACAATCATATGAACGTTTCAATTTACTTTCAGTAAATTGAAGCAACTTCTGTTCTTGTTTACTTTGCGTTAGAAGCAAGATGAAATAATAAATATTAAAGTAAATTTTGTTATTTTATTAAATTTTTTATTTATAATTCTTTATTTATTATATTTTTCAAAATATATTTTTCAAACATTTCAAATTCAATTTTAATTTTATTCAATTCTTTACAATAATAAGAATCGGCATACATTTTCTCCAAAATCGAAAAAATGATTAGATTTGATGCCTTGGTAATTCGGTAACTCGGTAATGATACAATTTCACAAAAATATATCTATACATTAGATTTATCTAGCTGTATATCTATTGTATATGGATACCCTATTGTTTAACTTAATAACATATCTAGAAAAAATCTCAAAAATATGATTTCTTTTAAGAATACAGAAAAGGTATGGTTTCAAATCGAGCATCAGAAGGGTTAAATTTACATTTGTAATCAGTTTTACGAATTCCATCATATTCGTGTGATTCAAAATGATAAATAAACTCAACATCTTTTTTCTTGGTGTTTTTCAAAGGACCGATCAGTTTCACTATTATTTTTGATGTTTGGCTGAATGTACGAACTTTTTCAGTATTTTCAGAGTTAAGTTCACTGAACAGAAAAAATAAAATATCAAATATAAATGGAATGTCACTGCAACGTTCAAAATCTTTCTCAAATAAAATTCCTGAATCATCAGTATGGAGTTTACATGAGGTATATTCAGACCTTAGTAACTCGTTAATTATTTTAAATACTGTTATATGATAGCAAATAAATTGGGTACGTTTTTTAGTTATTTGTATCGATTCTGAGCTATCACATATCATATCTTGCGATATCTCATTGTCTTTTCTAATAAGATTACTCCATATTTTATGTCTTAGCACACGAAAAACCGCAAAAATAAAATGTGAGTTGAATTTTTCAAATTCGGTAATAATAATATTCAACATGAAGATGGGAATGAGATCTCTTTGTTTTCCAACAATAAATTTCATCGCTTTAATAATTATATCAAGTACTTTAGAACACGCGTCATTTCGGTGTCTTATAATTGCACATTTGTGCCACATGTAGTTATCCACTGCGTCCCGCATAGTCTTACAAGTACTCCGAAGTGCATTTAACTCTCGCGGTGACATCTCGCCGAACATCTTATATAAAATATCGGTTGGCAGGTTTTCCATTCTGTAATCAAAATAAAAGAGATTAAATTTAATTTTTGAATAAATAAAATATAAATTAAATAAATTTATAAATATATATATAAAGCAAAACAATCACAAATTTGCTTTTAACTTTAAAACTTATTTATATACAACAGAAATCCTTTTAATACCTTTAGTTTAAATATAAATAAATTACAAACGGTAATAATTATTAATTATATTTTTTTTTTGATAATTATTGAGCTTAATTTTGCAAACTATTTTTTTAAGTTCTTAGTCCAAATTAGTGCAGTGTTTAATATCACTTAGTTGTATTTGGCCTTATGAATGAAGATGTTTCTAAAATGTGGTGTCTTTTATATGAAAATAGTGATATTTTGGAAATAGATCATTAGATTTTCAGGTAAACAAATTTTATTTAATAACAGGCAAACACATCTTTCTTTAAATCTATTTGATTAATTTTCATAAGTCTGAAGGTTATGTATTAATTTTGAGAAAAACCAAAATACTTGAATACTAGTACTTGAACTAATATATACGTTAATACAAAGAATTATGTAAATCTCATAAACTCTTTAACTTTGTTATTTTTATTTAATGAAATATTCGTTTATGTAAATTTGGATCCATATCTTATTCTTAGGAAGTTGTTGCATATTGTTATACTAGTAACTATTAGATCAGGAAATACTTAGAAATAAAACAGGTCACACCTTCTGTTCTTTGTATTGAATAGAAAAAATGCTCTATATTGTTAAAGTAAACTTGTGTCTAGCAATCATAGATATATTCAGTTTTAAAAACAATATTATTTTATAAATAATTTACCAAAAAGTTCTGTAGTAATATTTTGATAACATATGTTATATAATCCTTTTGTATCGTTTTATCAAATCCATATGTAAAATCCATGAAGATCCACTGAGCACTAAATTAAAGCGATGACCTTTATAATTAGACAACTAAAACATGTAGTTAAAACTTTAATAAAAGATGCTTCCAGCAATTCTGAAATTGCAATATTTATTTTTTTTTTAAATTTATTTCCAAGCGTTACATATAGAAAATATCCCAATTCTATAATTTTAACCATCATTTCATCAAATTAAATATTTAATAAACTATTTTAATTACGAAAAGAAACCGAAAAGAAACAGAAAAGAAACCGAAACAGATATGTATTTATTCTCATTCTTATCGAAAATATTGATAAGAGTCTCTCAGTCTGTCACAAACACGTTGCCAAAGTTGATATACCCTCTTCATATTATGAAGATGTTCTTCTATAAATACATTCCACGACAAGCTTTGACATGGAACCCACAAGGCAACAGACGCCCTGGTGCACCGGCTTTAAATTGGAGAAGAACAATTGAAAGAGAAATGACAGAAGCGCATTATACATGGAACGATATATGTAGAGAAGCACTTAACAGAGTTCGGTTTAAGAGAATCGTTGAGGCCCTATGCCCCACTAGGGGAAACGGATACTAAAAAGAAAAGAAGACGAAGCATTATATTTCAATTAAAACATTATGTTATTTCTTTATTGTCGATTTTTAAACATTTCCTGTATCAACTTGAAGTTATGCTACATACACAGCATACACAATTAATTACTAATTAAATATATTAAACTATACGTAAGTAAATGAAATAATTTTTTCAAACAATTTATTATGATGTTACATTTTTTTGATAAATTTTTTGAAACTATCTATCATTCATAAAAATTTTGGGATATTTATAGTGTCAACTTTATGGATTTTATATTAAATTTTATGAAATTGATTTTTATACTTTGTGTAAAATAGAAAACATTTTTAATACTTTTGAGATCATTTTTATTTAATTTTTATATTATATCTATTTTGCAATTCACAGTGACGTTTCATTTAATTTTTATAAAAATTTTACTCATAGTTTATCATTTTTTTGATAAATATTTAATTTTCGGATTAGTTTGTATGAAGTACTTTTCGTGGTTAACAACAAAACCTAAAACGTCATAATTGCTGGGAAAATTTTTATCTCTTAACATGTATGAAATTGTGAAATTCATTTAATATACAAAGTATAATTAAGATTCGAATATTTCCTAAGACCACTGATGATGAGTACTTGGCAATACTCAAAACAGTGTTTATGGTCAGCCAAATTACAATAAAATCAAATTCTTGTCGTTGTTTCTTCATCACTGTTCGAACCCTTCCATAATTTTTTGTTTTGTTCTTATTTTTTTTAAAAATCAAAAAATTTAGATTGAAATAGTTAAGTCTACCAACCTGAAAATAGTCCTTTCATTTTGTGAAACAGTATTTTGTGCATTTCGTCCAATTATCTTTTTATATAAATTTATGTACTCCATTTATGCATTTTCAAAGTTTCTATTAATGAATGAAATTTCAAAGTACATACGTTTATATTTCCTTTATTTCATATACATGTTAAACATATTCTACGTTGTTCAAGTTATTGTCTTCCAAAATAAACACAAGGGGATCTTATTTGTTTGTTTACTTATATTGGTGTATAAATTTACAGTAAAGGTAACTTTTTTTATCTAATTTAAAAACACAACTTCATTTGAATAATAAAAATAAAAAGATAAGAAGAATGAAAATAAACTTGATCTTAGATAGTAATGAGCTAAATATTTTGTTCTTCTCTCTAACCAAATGATATGCGTGATATTGTATATTAAATTTTAAATTAATGGCAGACAAATGAAAGACAATGTGTTAATAAAACTAAGTTGATAATATTCTAAATGGCAGCTGGCAACAGATTTTCCACTATATTTTGATTTATATACAAATCTGCTAAGAAGCTAACTTGTTTAAATAGGTTCGTGTATTAATAACATTTTTATCACACATTGTCTTTATCCAAGCTTAATTTGAATGGAAGTAACAATATTTAACGATTTATGTTACGAAACAATTGCTTATAGCAATTGTTAAAGATTGTTTTTAAAGACTACTGTTAAAGAACGACTACAGTTAAAGAACGACTACTGTTAAAGAACGACTACAGTTAAAGAACGACTATCGTTATTGAACGACTACTGTTAAATAACGACTGCTGTTAATAATGACTACTGTTAAAGAACGACTACTGTTAAATAATGACTACTGTTAAAGAACGACTACAGTTAAACAACGACTACTGTTAAAGAACGACTACTGTTAAATAATGACTACTGTTAAATAACGACTGCTGTTAATAATGACTACTTTGAAATGCTACTGTATTTATTAAAAAAAAAAGGCATACGAAAAAGAAACAAACAATTTTATTGATTTTAAGGTTATAAAAAAAATTTTAGTTAAAATTACATACTTATCACATTATAAATGATCATATAAATATCATAAAATATAAAAATAGTTATACATTAATTTTTTAAGTTTGTTGTCTTTTTATATTAGATTTGCATAGCAATGCATTAACATTTTTGTTTTATCACTATTCATATAAATACTGAACTGGTAATAAGTGGTGTAACTTCCAAAAGTTGCTAACTCAAAAATATATGTAGTATACCTATAATAATCCCATATACAAATATGAGATTACTATTGTAAAAAGTCCACAATGTATATTAAGTGCTGTTATAATGCATAAAAATAAATAGTGGTCTGATATTTTTTATTTTACTGCTCGTTATTAAGATTGTTCTTACAGAAATGCCTCTCTTAAAACACAGAATTAATTCAATAGAATATTCGCCTTTTTTTGTTGCATTCATTAAAAATTTTTATACTGAGAGAATCCTAAAATATGGATGTCATAACCTTATAGGTAGTCCGAAAAGTATTCGTTACTCGCTTGCACCAGCTTTATTTACTTTTCAGTCAATTAATTTTGATTTCATTGTAGTAGCAGATCTAGGATTCTTCTAATATTACATACAAAAATTTTTTGAGAATCTTGGTCAACTGTAAGACATCCCCTTGAATAGCATTATAAGCTTTGCAAAGGTTCAAAATGGTTTTAAACCGTTGAGTTTTTCTATATATGGTAAACACAATGGGCCTATAGGCCTAAGTGGATTCCTTGGAATCGCCGGTATAAACTATTATCCACATACAAAAAACTTTGTGTAAAAAACTTCAATATCGTTTAAAATTACTACCACATAATTCTCATATCATCAGAGAAATTATTACTTCAAAAAATGTACATGATTTGTATTATTGCTTGGATATGTTTCACCATTTGAGCTTATTAGTGCATTCAGGATCGATCCATTATTATGCACTGATGCAAGAAGTCTTGTCAAAAAACCGCTAAACGCAATCGGAATTATCAACATGGTGTTGTTTTCGATTCACATTTATGTAAGACGATTTTTTCAACATATTTAATGTGGTCTGTAAAAACTACTAAATCCAGCTGTGAAGAACTTTTACTGTTGGTATCTGTAGAGTCAGGTTAAGTTCAACGAATCATCGATGAACAGCTGAATTTTACGATTAAGAGTTAAGTCGGGATTTCTTTCCATCAAAAAGAACTGTTTAATTAATAGTAGAAAAGTCGAAAAAATAATGTAATTTATAGAGCTATAATTCAATGACTAACGGATGGAATATCAGAAAATTTTGATTAAAGTTATGCTTTCGAAAAATCTGTACTGTAAGTGTGACGGTATCTAATGGTTAAAGACATATAGAGTGATGCGATGTATATTTTATTTGGTTGTTATGTATCTATATGTTGAGTAATATGCGTGATCGAGCTTTGAATATTGTGCAATAATTTACTTGATTATACTTTTTTGCAAATTTCAACATTAACCAGATAATAAACTGTCATTGATCTGTTTCTTTAAGATTTTCATAATAATAAAATTGAATTACCAACAAATACAAATTTACTTAATCGCATTAAATTGAGTTATCGTTTTTTCTGATAGATATGGCTTTTGAGATTCAAAGGGTAGATTAATTTTTACTACCTTCTACATAAATATATCAAGAACTCATTATTTTATCCATTTTTCCGTAATATATATTTGCAGAATGTTTGTCTAATATTTTTCTACAGCTGTATTTTATTCCCAACGCATGATAAAACTATAATCGCTCCCTACAGTACCTGTCAACGTTCACTGTAGTTTAATTATATAGATTAGGTAGCGACCTTTGTAACATTGAGCACAGTTCTTTCACAATAGAATTGCTCTACTTCAAGGATTTGAACGTATTTTGATAATATATCAATAACTTTTATATATAGTAAAAAAATAATTTTGATGATTTTACTTGATTTAATATAACATATAAATATATAGACATTCAAAAATTAAAAATAAATGTTATAAGCAAATACAGCAGGTAGAAATATTACTTAGATCAATTAAAACCTAATAACTTATACATAGCTAGTGTGTCTATACGGATGTCATAAAATAAGGTCTTTTCAAAGAAGTAGAAGAAAACGCAATTAGGTCAAACCCTGAGAAGTCAAATCGATGCAGAACAATTGTAGATGAAGAAGACTATATTAAAGTAAAAACAAAAGTATTGACTATAGATAATTGAAAAACATTTATTAACTATTTAATAGCTAGTTAAAATAGATATTTTAAGAAACGATTTTCTAAGATTTTCCTAAAATCCTTTTTTGAAGTTACAATTATAGGTTTTATAAAATTTTTTACCTAAGCACTGCACACAATTTTAAATAGAAATACCGATTCCAATTTAAGTTACAATGAAATATATTTTGTATTTTATTTTAAAGGCTTCCTTGAAGTATATAAATAACTAATTTCTTTTATCTTTTTAGTTCATTGGTAGATTAATTTTTTTCTGTTAAATATTTATATCATATTACATTCATATTTTCAATCCCCAAAAATTATTTTCAACCATATGAAATTCTCTTCCATGTATTAGAAATATTTTTACACGAATTTCAAGAAATAAACGGAATATAAGAAGTAAAAAAATTTATAAGATACTGACATATTCATTGATATTACTTTATGATATGACGAAACGATTCATTGAAAGACTTTTACAAGTAATATATTTTTGGATGATTTCTTTGGAAAATTGAGTATTATATTTTATACAATTTGTTAAAATAATATTATGTGTGAATTCCTAATATACAAATTTTTCCCTCACATATTCGTTTTTATTTATAGAATTCCAATATGCGAAATATATCATCATCTACTCCAATTTGATTCAAATTTAGCATACATAATTTGAGAATAAAAAATAATCAAAATTTTTGTTATCTTACAAAAGTAAGTTTTTTTTTGAAAAACTAAAACACTTGAGATTTTTATTTTCCTGTTTCGATTTTATTAAATCACGGTAATACAAATAGATGTATAAATATTTAACATATATATATATTGGAGAAATAACATTTTCAAAGTATTATTGGAAATATATTATTATTAGTATTATAATATTATTTTAATAAAAATGTATACGTATCAGTTAAACTTAATAGTAAGCTAAAATATATACAATCTTAAGTATAGTACGAATATATTGAAAGCCTCACACTTAAAGGTATATCTCACGAATATATTGAAAGCCTTACACTTAAAGGTATATATCATCTTAACGCCATTTTTGAAGTATTTGGTAAGAATAGTGATATTATTAAAGCAACTGCAAAGAAAAAAATAATTAAAACATTTTATAATAAGTAAGTACAATATTAAGTTGAAGGATTTGGCATAGCTACCTAGAGCTCTATTGTGTGTGTCTGTTTCTATTAGTATTTGTTAAAATATATTTTATGAATTTAATGAAATAGTTTTATTTTAACAATTTAATACATCATATTAAATCAAAAAAATATACAGTATAATTTGATTAGTATCAAATCGATTTAACTACGTTCTATCTATCTATTTATCTACATTCATTATAAAAATTAAATAATGAAGAAGGCAGCATTCTCCAAGAGTAAGCATTTGTGACTTGGAGATACGGTGGGAGGATAACATAAAATATCTGGGGGTCTCTTTTGATAAACGGTTCAATTGGCTTAAACATTTCAAATATAAACGGAATAGCTGCTCTAAGATTCTATATTTATTAAAGCCGCTATTTAATAATTATCACTTCAACTTTAAAAACAGAAAGTTACTTTATACGCAAGTAATTAGACCTGCACTACTGTACGGATGTGTTACATATAGCAAAGCCTCAAATACTACCTTAAAGCAATTACAGATAGCACAAAACCTGGCTTTAAGAAGGCTGTTTAAGATTCCATGGTATATTAGATCAACAGACATACATAGAGATCTTAGGTTTGACTCAGTGAAAAAATATATCAGAGACAGAGCTCTAAAATTATTCACTAAAGTTGATACGCTACTTAACCCCGCCCTAACAATCCTCAAGTCCATTTCTGAACTCTCAGGAAGATATGCTGATTTAAGATCCGTCATCAACTAAAAGACAAATAAATGATTTGATTTCTTAGCCTAGTTAAAGCCTAGTGTGGGGTAAAGATAAGCCCCCCAGCCATTATAGAGTAAAAGTGCGTAATAGCACTAACTCAAGAAGAAGAATCAAGAAATAATAATTTTCAGAAAAACATCAATGATATACATACATTGGTAATACATTAATGTCAATCATTTTCACGAAGATTTAATTGGTTTAGGTTTTAATCTAAATTTCAATTATTTCCATAACTAGCAATTAGTACAGGTTATTTGCCACAAGATATGAATATATTTTGTATATATAATATTTGGATCCGATTTTTTAGTAGCCCAATTTGTGCTAATTTACTGCAGTTACTTTTCTTGATATGGAATTTTTTTGTGATATGTTGCTATTTATCAGATAATACTTTTAAGCTTTTTAAATTAAATTTAAGTTTTTTAAAAGCTCTACGCTACTATGAATATATTTTTTATAATAGAATTTTTTTTTGACTTACCAAAAATAACACCTCCAACAGTTAAAAAAGGCGGAAGGCAACCAAGCGATATTAATACCGGGAATAAAACATTTCCTAATACTGCACCCAAACGTCCAAAAGTCATAACGAGTACCACAACCATTGTTCTAGAAAAAAGTTAAAATATTATTTATATGAAGGTAAGTCACTCTTTAATTATATATGAAGGTAATATATTTATATATTTTTTATATATGAAAAAATTTTAAAAAAATATGTGAAAAACGATTATGACAGCAAGAGCAATTTTTTTATTATATAGAGGACTTATGGTCCTCTATTTAGAATGATTTCTAAATCACATCAATGAAAATTATCATTTGATGATATTTTATAATGCGTTTTCAATATCAATCGATACACGGGATGTTTTTTTTTTAGCTGCATGAGAACTTAAAATGATAATACAAGAAAGAAATAATGTTGAAATAAAAATTTTGTAATCTAGTATATAATTTCATGGCATTTATTATTTCAATATGATTTGCGGTATATGACTTTCGTGACGGACAACGGCTACGAGTTGCATGGTCCATTCCATTAATACAATTTTTCAGATCAGACTATTTTTTGCAATAAATGTGACCGTATGGAGTTAAAGGCGTTAATGGAGGCAAGAATATTGGCAACCAATGTTTCAAGAGTTGCTGGTTTGTCGGTTGCCGGCATAAACCAATTACTTTACATAGCCCCATGAACAGTCATCCAGAGGCGTTAAATCGCACGAATGGGGGACCCGTTAACAGGATTGGATCACCTCTGGAAAAAAATGTTTCTACCAAATTGATTTAGCAATTAATCGATTGTAAGGCAAGATGCTATGCGCCGTCTTGTTAGAACCAAATGTCTGCTTTGGCGATGTTTAACTGATTAGTTTTTGGACATTGCTGACAAAAGTTGAGTCAGCATGCTCGATAGTGCTCGCCATTCACCGTAACGGTAAGTTCTTGATGATGATGCCGCCAGCGTGTAAACCGCATGAAAAAGTCAATTTTAATGGATGTAATGGTAATTTATTTACGGCTTGAGTATTATCTTCGCTCCATATATGGCAATTTTGCTTATTGACGTGACCATTTAACCAGAAATGAGCATCATCACTAAGCACCATTTTCCGATATGAAGTTCGTGAACAGATTTATTTTTTCAAAGTAAATTTCTACAATTTGGAAGAGTTGTTTTAGCTCTAAAGGATTCATGATCAATTACCGAATCTTACTCAACAAAAATGTTAATATAGTTTAACGTTCTCAGCTGTCAAAGTATAGTTATCGATATCGATATTTCTTATGAAACTAAAAAAACACTCTTTATATTGAAAAATTTTACTTAAGACGTTTACAGTTCTTATGTACATCTTTGAGATTACATACGTCTTTGAGATACACATTTAATAAATATTAATCGATATTAATATATTCGATATCGATATTTCTTATGAAACTAAAAAACACTCTTTATATTGAAAAATTTTACTTAAGACGTTTACAGTTCTTATGTACATCTTTCAGATTATATACGTCTTTGAGATACACATTTAATAAATATTAATCGATATTAATATATTCGATATCGATATTTCTTATGAAACTAAAAAAACACTCCTTATATTGAATTTTACTTAAGACGTTTACAGTTCTTATGTACATCTTTGAGATTACATACGTCTTTGAGATATACATTTAATAAATCTTAATGGTTCCATAATTGCATATCGTTTAATATTAAAATCCATTTCTTCCATGTCATCTGATTCTTTTCTTTCCTGATCTAGGATAAATACTGTATATCGACCATTTGACGCGATTTCGACTGTCCATGCATACCTAATTGACTATGGCTATTTAATAATAACATTATTTTATATTAATCACACTAACATACGCGATCAAATGCCAATTGGATATATGTACAATTTTTATATTGATTATGCACACAGCTGGTGTCAAAAACGAAATTCCTTGTTAAAATTTTCAAAATTTATGGATCGATATCTAAGCTATACTATACTATGGGTATGGTGGAAAAATTTGTTCAGAATAGCTGCCTTTATTGAAATTCGTCGAAATAGACATATGTGAGAAAACAGAATCGTATTAAATATTTATACTTTGGTTGAAAAGATTCATAAAAGATATTTAAGACCTTTAACGGAGATAGAAGATTGTTATTATGTATACATAGACTTATATAAATTATATAGCTTATGAAAGATATTTATTATTTACCTCATTGTTGTAGGAAAAACATCAACAGATACATTTATTATTGTCGTAACAGCAATACTGCTGAATGTTATAAATGCAGCTGACGCTAGAAGTACCGTGAGGTAATTAAAGGACAAGAACATACCGAAGTTACTTAATACAGAAAGTCCCAGTCCAATACCTGTACGCAAAAAAAATTAAATATTTAATTAAAATGGATTCCAAGGAACAAATCAATATTATACTTAATATATTTTTAGTGCCAAGGTATGGAACTAGTAATGCTACACCTATATAACCAAAGAACCCAACTGCTGCAACAATAATGTTCGGAGTATAAGATTCTGCACTAATATGCTAAAAATATTTTTGATCTAAGTACGAAATTTTTGTTTTTTTTTAATAATATATTTTGATAAGATTAAATTACCACATCACATTCTGTCATTTCATCAAACCGTAATAATTCGGTTTTATTGACGTTGTATTCCAAAATAGTGCACATACTTGGATTTGTAGTCGTTTGTTTAACTTGAAATTCGGTTAATGAAGCAAATATTTGTGGTAACCATAACCGTAAGGTGTTCTGACTAAAATTATAAGGTTTGGTTTAAAGAAACTTTTGAATTATCTTTCTTTATTTACCTTACCCCATAATAACGAAGAAATTCATTGTATAAACAAACACAGCTAACACGATATATGGGCTGGAGAACATAGGCCTCAACTGTTTAAAGCCTTCTGAAAGATTTTGTTGTGCTTCAATGCTTCTTCTTCTGAAATATTTTGTATTGCTGTCAATGCTAACTCTTGGCGGTCTAAATGGAGCTTCATTAGACAAGATCTTTATCTATTTAAATATAAATTTTATTATTAAGCAATTGCAGGTTAAAGAACTAATTACCGGATATTCAGATTTATTACGTCCGGTATTAACTGCATATATTATTTGAAATACTTTCAAAGCTTCTTCATTTTTACCTTTGGTCATTAGAAATTTCGGACTTTCGGGTAAAAAAACTATTAAAATAGCTGATATTAAACTTGGTATAGCCGTCGTTGCAACAAATATTTGCCAAGTGTGAACTAAAGTATACGTAAAAAGACTTAAATTCTAAGTAAAAGTAATAAATTAATACCATTAACAGTTTACCTACACTTCAATACCCATATTTTAAACGCAATATGATAAGGTAAAATGAAATAAGCTAATATAGGTAATATAAGGAATCCAGTTCCTTTCATTAGACCGACTACCATCATAACTTGTGAACGATGGTCTTTTCCATGCAGTTCAGATACGTAGGACATTATTACAGCAAACGGTCCACAAACTCTATTATATGTACATATTGTTACTACTAAAATATTAGAAACTCGTTATTATACTAAGCTGATTGAAAAACTTACGCAAATCCTCCTAAAAATTTAAAAATCATTAACTGCGTAATGTTTTGACTTAAAGCTGCCCCCATAGTGAACACACCATCGAGAAGTAATCCATATATTATTACTTGTTTTCGTCCCATTGTATCAGCTATAAATCCCCAAGGTACAGCCGATAGTATGGTTCCTAAAAAAATTTATTGTAGCTCAAACTGTTTAATTTGGTGTGAAATAGTTTCTCTAACCTGTATATGTAATTGCGTTTAATATTCCTTTCTGCAGTAAACTTAATCTCAGATCACACTCAGCAGTTGGCAGTATATAGGACATAGAAGAGGTTTCAAACGTTGTTGCTGCAATAGCTATAACAATGACTAAGAGTAAGTATATATTAAATTTTCCAAATCCACAAATTTTCATCGCTGTCTCAAAATCACTTGGCGGCTCTTCGTTAAAATTTAATATTGGAAGAAAAGTATTAAGAAAATTAGTTTTAATTAAATCATATTAATAACGTAAATGTGTACATTGTAAGAACGAACTGTAAGTTTGAAAAATTTGAAAATTACCATCAGCCATCAGTTGAATAAGGAATGGTGCAATATAAATCTGCTTTTCCTAAAAGTCATTTAAAACGTCTTCTCTTCTTGAACGCGTTTTTTCATAAATGATCTTAAGGTGTGTTTTTTCTTTGATGAATTGATATTAATTTCATTAGAAACTATATTAAGCACCCATTTCGCTTAGGAATTGGGAACTTTGTAATTTCTAAAATTATTATCCCTTTTTGTATGTGTTTGGATATTTTTCTATTCCCATAGATGATTGAAAGTTCCATGCAACTTGTTTCAGGTATACAATTTTCTGCAGAATCTTGTATTATATATTATAATTATATTGTCTTAGAAAACTATGACATAAGCAAAACCACGAATTAAGATTTCATAAAGTAAATAATAAAAATAAAGAAATTGTTCTAATTTATTCAAAAAAAATTATTTTTTGACATAAAATAATAAGTAATATAATATAAGAAATATATCAAATAACGTTTTTATATCCGTGAAAACTGATTATTTAATGAAGGTTTCAACAAGTTTGGATTTAAAGTACATGACATATACGAGTGATGGCTCATCGCAAACAATTTGTTAATAGTTTTTGGAAGGATATCGAATAAAGATAAACCATCCACATGATGATATCGATTGGAGATTTCCCTGATAATGATTCGTAGATTTAACTAAGTTATAAATTAAGCGTTTTATTAAAGTGTTATAAGTAGTTTTATATAGTGTGTAGTGAAGTGGTTAAATACTTTTTCTGATAACGTAATAACATCCGAGATAGGTATCGCGATATTATTCTTTAGCCAGCTTGTTAAACAAACAGTTGATAATTACTGCCTCACATAAAAAACCTACCATACATATAGGCTAGCTTAGCTAAAAATATTTCACAAAATTAAAAGTACTTAAGTTTATAATGTTAGCCCTTGCAAATCAATATTGGAAGGGTATGATCATGGCAGGATTGTCTTAGTATAGTCATTTTTGTATCTTGAGCGCTTTCTTTCATAAGGAATGGGCAGATGTAGGGATAGTTGACCCATAAAGATTTTTAACGTTTTTATTGAACATGGGATAATCCTGCAAAAGGATGTTGAGAAGATGAGGAAAGTGTTATCACACGAAGACCCTTGACCTTCGTGAGTCCAAATAAGTTATGTGTTAGGAGTGTCATAATAATAATTATGTAAGGAACAGTTCAACTATGTTAAAGAGAATTACTCCAGTGATTAATTGAATAATAACGGAATTACTTAACATTCTCGTGAAAGGTAATAATAGGTAATATTAGCGTTTTAGAAAAGAAATATTGAGGTATCGAAATTTTTTAAGAAATCTACAATAGTTATATTAGCAAACGACCATGTTATAACTAAATAAAACTTGTGAATCCTTTGGTTTTCTTTCCAGTTTTAAGCTTTAAAATACAAACTTGGACATAAACTAGAATATTTTCCACTCCCAAAATGATGTAGATGTATATAAAATGAAGAAAAGAAAAGTGTGCTTTGATTTCCGTTAAGGAAATATTTCATGCAATGTAATAAATACACTGATTAAATTTATTGGATTTGTGTTTTTTTTTTCACAATAATTTTTTTAATAAATAATTTATTTATTATTATAAAGTTTGAAGTAAAATTAATAATTTAACAAAGCATGAGAAGAGTATGCAGTGAAGACAATAAATGATAAATTACGTTGTATAAAAATTACTACTGTTGATAGTCAGTAGCCTCTCCAAATCATCCTCATCAGCATTCTTTATACAGTAGTCCTTGGTGATGTGAAAGTGTGTTATTTTCTCCCACATAATCTTTTTTGATATCATCATCCTTGGCATAATGTTCCATAAAAATCGTTTGCTTATGGTAGCTTCTAAATTATCATGTATACCATATTATAGTATATGTTATGTATGTTGTATATTGAAAGGATTTGATTTAAATAACTATTATAGTTGTAGAACTTTTGCTTTAAGTGAGCTCAGATATCAAATGAATTAAAATGTGGGATTATTATAAAGTATTTTAAAATCATAATCATTTTGAGCCTGTGATTAAAAAGGGAGACTAACATAAGGTTAGAAGAGTGGAGGATTTCATTTATTAACATATTGTCGCTTTAATGCATTAGGGTAGGCAGATTTTTGTGTTTACATATAAAATACTGTCAGATTCCTTTGGAAGTAAAGGAAATATTGAATGCAACATAATACAGTGATTGGATTTATTGGGTTTTATGTTTCTGGAAGTTATATTAGAGGTAACCACTTAAGGGGGGCAGTTTTGGGAGCTGAAGCTATCACGGAAATGAATAGAATAACCTCATTTAAACATATTTATATTGTATACTAGATTATGACTATTTAATAAGATAAGTATCAGTTTTTCAAAAGAAGACAAATTTTAAAGTTTCTTCTGAAGTAAAATCAAGCTATAATAAAGACCTGATTAGGGATTTACATTTTCAAGTAGGAAATATGTACCTATGTGTATTTGCAAGTATTATTATTATTATTATTATTGTAATTAAAGCGCACGATAGCACTGAAGTAAGAAACTTTAAACTAAACCTTCTTTCATAATGAAATTAAAGTTGCATTATTTGAATAGAGAGGTTTTTCTGTGATATTTATTCAACAATCTTTTACTTTTTATTGTAAATTATGTAGTTATAATTCACATAGTAAATTTACTTCATTTTGCTTAGTCTAGATACTTAATTCAAATATTTGGTTTTCTAAATAAGTTTTCTGTTATCAGTATTATTCAGTATTATTGTTGTTTTGATTTAAATTGTGATGAAAACTATAAGTTTTTTTCCATTTTAAATTAGTTTTAGAAATGGCTTCCTAGATAAAAATGAATAGTATATTAACTTTATATTAATTAAAATTCCTGTAGTTCATTTAAGTGTTCTGTACTAGATATTAACTTGTATTTTGTTTGTCTATGTAGTATATTCGATCATGGCAACCCTGTATAAAGAAATAGATAAAAAAGGAAAAAATACAAAATGCGTGTTTCGTCGTTGTGCTCAAAGGAGTAAGCGTGCCGTGCCGTAATTATTATTATTATTAATATTAAATTGTAAATCTATATAACTTTAATCAATAAAGTATATTGTATTATATAATTAAAAACATAATAAAATTTGGCGACGAGGATAAAACATTAAAGGATGGCGAAGAATTTTAGTGAATTAAGTCAATATAACGTGGCGTCGGGGAAATGGAAAACATACATGGAACAAATGGAATTTTTCTTTGTTGCAAATGACATCACAGACGCAAAAAAGAAAAAAGCTATCTTTTTAGCTTCATGTGGGACGGAAACCTACATGATATTAAAATCGGTTGCCACACCGATTAATATTTTAGAGGAAAAATTTACATTTGAGGCGGCAACTAAATTATTGACTAGTTATTTTTGTCCGGCAGAGAATATAATAATACAAAGGTTTAAATTTTATCGGAGAAACCAAAAAGAGGACGAATCAATTACCGAATATTTGGCAGCGCTAAGGAAATTGAGCCAAGACTGCAATTTCAATGATTTGAAGGAAATGTTACGAGACAGACTAGTCTGTGGCATGCGCAATGAAAATTTACAAAAGCGGCTTCTGGCGAATGACCAGTTAACACTAAAAATAGCGCAGGAGGAAGCTATAGCATCAGAAACAGCACAAAAAAATGCGACGGAACTTAAAACGTCAGCCAGCCTGCCAGGGTTGAATAAAATTTCAAGCAACAAGGTAAAACCAAATCGTGCTCCAGTGGACTATATTCAGAATTGTTATCGTTGTCGAGGAAATCATCATTCAGATCAGTGCAAATTTAAAGACGCGGAATGTTATTATTGCAAAAAGCGTGGACATATTGAGAGAGCTTGCATAAAAAAAGCAAAAACCAAAAAGCCAGCAACAAATAATGGGAGAAGACCAAACAGAGTAAATCTTTTAGATACAAACCAGGAAACTCAAACGACGGAGTATTTATGGTCAATGTTCGCTAAAGGTAGTCTATCGGTCAAGAGAGTGATTACGATAGGTAAGTCACCGGTACAAATGGAAATAGACTCTGGAGCAAGTTACTCAATAGTAAGTGAAAAGTTATTTAGAGAAAAAATGCCGTATATTCCGCTAAACCCAAGTCCAATACAATTAAGAACTTGGGGAACAGAGAAAAATCTTAAACTGAGTGGAGAAGCAGAAGTACCAGTCTCGGTTGGGAACGTCATAAAGAAACTAAAGTTGTTAGTAGCAGCGGGTGATGGTCCGGCTCTAATTGGTCGAAATTGGTTTAACCTTTATGTGCTTGGTAGTCTACATTTGTAGCATTTTGTGCGAAAAAGTCTTATAAAAACGAATTTTGCACAATGACAGGGTGCGAGATTTTTAGTAGTTTCCTAAAAATCAATTTTAAGTTAATTTTAAACTTAACAACATCAAAACAATAATTTATTTAAGCCCTAGACCCAACTTTTCAAAATGATCACCTCCTGGCCGGTAGTCTACATTTGTAGTCACCATATAATTTATATGAAAATTCATATTAAATATCTATGTAGCTCAATATTTTTTAGTTCCAACATACAGAAACATGTTCCTTTGTAATTTATTTTATTCTCTGTTTACTTGTACATACTTCTGCTGCATATTTGTACTTATATGCATGATTTTATGGTTTAGATCGCAACAGTAGGAGGATTAGGAAGCGCAGTTCATACTGCTGTAATCAATTTTCTGCTTATGCTCAATCTGATTACAATGTAATGCTTTCGATCCGCTTTCGATTGGTTAATTTGGTAATGAAATAGTTTATTTGAAACATAGAGCAGTAAATTAAAATGAGAATATTGGAAAATATGATTGAACGTGCTACAACTCGGCCACTATGAGTTGTTAAACAGTAAGTGTGTTTGCAGGTTTTCCTTTTTTTGGAAGTGGCTTATGAAAAAAGAATGGCGACAATATATTGACAAATTACTGAGCGAGATTGATGAGGAGGAAGAGGAGCACTAGTTTTTAGCGATGAATGGTTTGATGATCATGTACCACTTGACCATCATACAAGTTCCAGCTCAAGCAATGTTTATGTTGGTGCTGTAAGTGTTGCGATTGGTTTCTATTCTAAAGAATCTGACGCCGAGAATGAAATGATACTTGGTGAAAAAGGTGATTCAGAAATATGAGCAAGAATAAGGTATATTATTCGAAACAAATTTTGATTATGTGATGAATGTCAAAGAGACCTCGGTCGTTATGCAGCATCTTGATACATTTGTGTCAAGAGATAATACTGTCTGGTTCAAAACTATACCTAATCAAGTAGGTCGCACTACTGCTCACAATGTGTTTCATGACACTACTGTTGGTCCAATTCGAGCGACTAAAGGTC